GGGAAAAGTTGCGAAATTACACAGTTACTATCATACTTTAAATAAAACCAGAAAATTACGATTACTTCCGAAGATATGCCAGAAAAACCGAATTTTCCGATTTCGTTCTTATCTTTTTCAGTGGTTCACGCTAGCAAAGGAATTTTTACCAACCTATACGATGGGATTGAGTAACAGAGACTATCAATATACTGGTGCTTTTCTGAGTCGAATAAAATTTCTCTTTGCTTTCTTTTACATTTTGGAAAATTCCACAGACACCCTACAACTAGGATTTCACAACAACCAAGCAAAAAAAATTCTTTAATTGACAAATGATAAAAATATCGGAAAATGACAATAAAAGCGTCGGTGATAGGTCCGTAAGGATACAGACCTATCTAGTTTATTAGTTAGATAAGGAAAAAAGACTACAATTTTATGGAATAAACAAGCTGTCATCGATGACTAGGGAATGCAATCCCGCAGCAAAATCTCAATCCCGGTATTTGCGGGATTGTTAAATGTTAATCCCGCGGGATCCCGGTATTTGCGGGATCTCGCAAAACTTTAAATAAATTGGCAAATAAGCAATTCTGTGCGGTTAACTTCTGTATTAAAATATATCGCTAATTATCACAATATTTAACAAAAAAGTACCTTCGGCCTAACTTAGAACTCAAAAAAACCTTACCTGTAAAGCACAAAAAGTCTTCTAAAGTGCCTCAAAGATCATAGTACATTTTTAACGAAAAAGGTTTAACAATTATTTAAAAAATAATTCGCCGTTATCAGTTTCATTAACAAAGTAAACAGTCGTCCCCTTGGTCGACAAATTCCTCAGTGCCGCAAATCCCGCGGGATCCCGCTCCATTTATGTGCGGGATTAATTTCGCAAAAATGCTGCGGGATCCCGTTATTTCGGGATCCCGCAATCCCGGTATTGCATTCCCTATCGATGACCACGGTCGAGTACGGTACAATCTTCAGTTGATGCGACACTGTTGTGTTTTCTGCTTGAATGAAAAACTCGTAACTGTATACCCATCTACGATATACCTGCGAAACCATAAACGTTTCCAATGTTAAAAACTGCCGTTCTTTGTTCCCGCCGTTACATCTCTGCTCTTATATTTGGTATGTTGTGTGTCATGATAACAATAGAAATTGTTTAACTTTAGAGAAACGAAATTATTTATAACATACGCGCAAAGAAGTGTTATCTTTGCCTTGCGGATGAACTGTAAATATATTAGCACTCTAACTATGAATAATAACGTCTAAAAAAGAAAGAAAAATCGAAACGTTCCGTTATTCGAAATAACGCTGAACATAATACTAATATTGATGGATTATGTTTTTCAAAGAACACTTTTATCTAAAAGCTGCAATTTAGTATACGCGGTATATGCGCATGAATCGTTGTAGTATTATTGATGTGAATTGGTTGACACAATCCATAAATCACCATTTGTTAGCATGGACATCTCTATCAGTATAAATCATAATCTGCGACCACATTTGCAACTATTACAGGAAGTTACGCAAGCGTTGAAAAATTAGAAGCACCACTGATTCAATAGCAGTCGTTGAAATGAGTATGTAAAGTTCAAAAGTATTCATTGTGTAATGTGTAACATGCATGAAAGTAAAAACAAACGATAGTCTGCGGAAAATCCAGAGAGAATATGCAACATCGTGATAATCTGATTTGGTAAAGCCTATTAACATATGCTACTCTACTTGTTTAAAAGTTCAAAAAGAGTAAGTTAATGTAGGCTTTCACAAATGTTGGTAAGGAACAAAACACTCACAGCAGCAAAACCTTTGAATTTCGCACAAAAAATGCACCTTTAATTGTAACTAATATCCACCTACAAGAACAAGAAATTCACAAAATTATGTATCAAAAGCAATTTCTTGTCTAAAAAAGTTTGGATATCTTGTCAAAAAATATCCGAACTTTTTGGATATTTTGTCCAAAACATTTGGATTTCTTGTCTAAAAAAAATTCGATATTTGGATATCTTGTCGCGCCACCGACAAGATATCCAAATCGGAATTTCCAAATTGGTTGGATATTTTGTCGCTTTATTTGGATTTGGATAATTTGTCGATAAAAATTGGATATCTTGTCGAAAACAATCCAAATTATTTGGATAATTTGTCCCTAAAAAGTTGGAATTTGGATTTCTTCTATAATACTCAACTAATCATGTAACAGCTGATTTCTCAGTGGTTTATAAATTGTTAGTGAGTTCTGATTGGGTAATTATATCTTGAAGTTTTAGTATAAGAAAATGAAGGTACCTATTCAGAAATTCTCTTTGAGATACGACCGTGACAAATAGTATTCATTTTATAGCCTTTCTAGCAAAACTTGGTGTCTAAAATGATATTAATGAACTTTTCATTTATTCTTACTTCCCTCGTCTAAACTTTCTGCCATTGTTTGTACACGGTTGTAATAAAACTTTTGAGAAGCGTTTAGTTGGCTTTTATGCCTTTTTCCAGGTTCTTCACTATCATAACTTGAAAAATATAATAAATTTTTGAGGGGAGGTGAAATATAAAAACATTATATTTGATATAAAGCGCCCAAAGATGAATATTTATTTCTCAGCGCACGTATGATGTGGACTAGAGTTGAGTGAGTTTGTTCATGAAGAAGGGAAACTAAATATAAGGGGTAGCACCAAAGAAAGACTAGAATCACTAAGTAGATCCGTTTATAAATACTGGGGCTTTCTATATTTACAATGGGGTGCAATATTTTTATTTATGAAAGATTCGCTTCAATTTTATGGCTATCTAGCTATATGTAGATAAGTGACAAATAATTAGATGAACTGATGCGTCCTTTTAATCGAAGCTGTTTTTTCTGTGTCTTATTTTACTCGTCGGGTTTCTTTTTATACATATAAAAATGGCGTTACAACGGTGAATTTTTAATTTTCGCTAACAGGCGGAATTGATTTTTCGATATTTTATTATTTTCAGTTGAAACATTGACCACTACAATCGCCTTACGTTGCCTCCCCCACTGACATGACTGTCAATTATCCCACCATTCATATAGGTAGGTCACGTTATATGAAAATTTAAAGAAAAATTAATTTTCCCTTGGGGTTGAATTATTATCACATTTCTTGGCAATCTTACATTTTATTTTAAGAAACAAGGTGAAATTTTGACAATACTATTAACATTCCACTGTTTTCAATGAATACCTACACTGGCCCTTCGGCGCTTCCGCCTTTGGTGTATGGGGCGTAACAATTAGTTGTGTAAAAAGATCGGATCCTGGAAGAAACCATATCAAAAATCTTTCCTATTCTTCCCGGCTATACCGCATACTGAAATGTTTTAATTTAACTAAAACATCACCAAGAATTTACACTTGTACAAATCACACAAATTCCAGCGCGAGTTTGACGATTCAGGCACCATTTGCCTACTTATTAAAATGAGTACAATGACTTCACATCAAAGATGTTTTTGTTTTGAATGAATTTTCATTTATTGTAGCTTTTGCAAGTGTTAGATTTAAATATTTCAATAAAATAAGTACCACGTATTCGATTTTTGAGTGACATTTATTAATTGGTGCTGTCCCCCTATAATTTGAGAACGAGTATTTAGAATGGTGCTACTAGTAATCTAATAGTCCTGAGTAATACGATAGGTAAAATGGGTACACCTAATTCCAATAGCGAACTCCCCCCTCGGTTGCAAGTGTACCTATGTGAAATAGTTAAAACTACGCCACATTCATCTCTATTTTCCCAAGACGGTATTTGGTGCGCCCTAATAAAAAACCTTTTGCATGTAACGTCTATGTGCCAAAAGTTCCAAAAACATTTTGTTCTACTTGGACATTAATACATTTCTCGTACTTTCACCACCGTCTGTGCTAGGCCTCCAGATTGCCCATCATATAGGTATCAAAAATCCGCTGCGATTCCATTTCTCCGCATTTCCTGTTTGCATTCGAACTATTTTGCCAGAATCCCACTTGAGACCTGTACTTTGTATGTAGCATGAAACTGTGTTTAAACTGTTTATATTCAATTAGCACAACGAAAACATTTGCACCCGATTCCGTACGAACAATTAATTCCTTTACTTTACTTCGTACGTAATAGGATAGAAAAACGTTGAATTACCTACCTACTACAAAACGTTTCCTGTAAGATGGCATTGACATTGGCATTCTAGGTCACCCGGCGTGTTAAGAAATCCAAGTGGTCAAGTAAAGAGAAAGTTGTCCATAATTAACCATGATGCAAGACACCTAACAAGAATGAATAAACAAGGAAAGAACTACAACTCACTTTCGAAACTGACGATACGAAACATCAATAATACAAACAATCGAATTACTTATATTCACATTACAACCACATTACATGTGGGTACTAACACGTAACAAAATTGTGTTTTAAATGCAATGGATTTAATGAACCGAACAGGTGAGCGTATTCCTATTTTCTCTAATCTAATAGATGCTTCTTGGTAAAATGGAAGAGACACCAAATTGTAATTGTGACCCATTAAATGAAAGTAAAATTCCACAAAAAGGGTACTTCGTCCAGATTACTCCTACCCGGCAATGACTCAAAATGTGAGCTAAGATTTAATATTTGTAAGTCATTGATGGATGCTTATTACAACCACTTTAATATTTATGTGTTCTTCACCAGTCGTGGCACACTAACCCAGAATACTTTCGTCAGAGGAGCAATGAAGAGATTTTAAAGGTCAATCCTAAAATTAGAGATTTTCTTTAACGCATATTTTTTAAATTGTGACTAAAATATGGACTAGATCGGACTGTGCTCGCTACACCTGCAGTTAATTGTCTACGTTTAAGACCAATGAAATAAAGCTATAAACTTTACAGACGTAAATCTTTGACCAACTTTCACATGAAAGCAGAAAACTTACTACCACCTGTGATAGTGAATATTGGAACTACAATTCCTCATTTCCTCTGGCAAAATTTAATATATAAATAAGCGTTTGTTTCATAAGTATAATCAAAAGATATTCAGAATCTTAACAAAGATAAATTACTTATTCTAACACTTTAAAACTAAACCGAGGTTAAGGTCCTATTAAATTTGTGTTTCACTCACAACACAACAGTCTTTCAATCCGTGTACGGCACAAACGATAGGAAGTGTTTATATTCACTTTAAGCACTACGCCCGTATCTCTGACGATCTTGGATTTACATCTTCGTAAGTGTAACTAGAATTTCCTCTGCTCATATACGCCAGAGTGTTGTCCTCCACTACTTGTGGAACTTTACGACTGTTATTTGCATCGGAATTTGCATACTGCTTGTTATTAAAATACACCGCCACTTCGTTACTGTCAATTGCTGGGTTTCCACTTTGCAGTTGCATAAACCCTTCCAATCTATTTCTTTGCAAAGGCGGAGGAGTTACGATGATATTTTTCGTAATCGCATTCTGAGCTGCGTTCGATTGAAAGGTAAAGTCCTGTGGCACCTTGGGAGGTATTTGCTGAAGGTGAAGCAGTGGTTGAGAAAGTATGTTAGCGGCATTTTCCTGGGGTTGTTCAATTGCGTTTAGTATGGACTGCAATAAACCATCATTTAGCACTTGATTATGGGGAATTCGTGATTCTCCGCCATCTGCTGATTGAATTTGTAAGGTGTAGCTTCCCAACGCTCCCCTTAGTGGAATATTATTCAAATCGACGCTTTGGCTCTTTATCAATTCACTTCCTTCTGGTATACTTGGTAGTATTTCATTACTCCGCCCATCTGATTGAGAGCGCCCTTCTTGTTGTATTTGAGCTTCGCTGCTGTTACTGACGGTGTTAGTTTTTTGCGAATAAGCTGTTTGCAAGTCAGGGACGCCATAGCCGATTCCAGAAATAGACCCTTGATGCGCTCCCGCTATGTTGGTATTAAGCGATGCAAGGGATGCGCTGTATGAGTTAGCTGCAGGCACTCCAAAGGATAATGGTGGCAAAGGCGCTGATTTCTGGGAGCAGTCGTGTCCAGTGCTTTGGTATGGTATATACGGTGCAACGACAGATACTGCATGATTCTGCGTAGCAGCAAAACTGTCCAATTCATGGTTTGAAGCAAAAGGTGTTTGAATGTGTGTATGGGGAAGGCCATAGGAACCATCCACTATACCCAAAGGAGCTGTGTAGCTAGTGAGAGGTACGGGGCCTAGGTTGTTATAGTTAAACGCCGAGTTAACGTCTACGTTAAAACCATCATTAGAAGAACCTTGAAAGTAGTTCTGGAATGACGATGGGTTTTTAGATGGAAGCGTGTACAGTGTTGAGGGTTTACCAGGTTCCACTTCACTTGGAGGTGGTTGGTAGCCGTTTTCGATATTCGCGTGCGCATCATTTTGAACAATCGAAATGCTTGAAGAATCAATTGTTGACGTGTGATCTTGAAATGCGATATGATTATTAGGAGATTGAATGAGTGGAGTTCCGTATGATCCACTAGGGGGTGTTCCATACACACCCGACGGAGGTATTAAGCCAATACTATTTATCCCGCCTAAAGTAGTTTCAAATGCGGAAGATATCGAATTTGAAAAGTTTTCAATGCCGCTGTAAGAATCGCTCGTGTATGTTAATGGTGATGTGCTGTAACTTGAAAGGCCTCCAACTCCAGGAGTCGCAAAGATCTCATATCCGATACTTTTAATTACTGACACATCTTTTTCACTAGGATCTGCTGTTCTTCCACCTCCATGATCTTCACCGGAAGAACTTATGATTCCACCTGAACCTGTGACAGTGTTTAAGGGCGCGCTGTACGAATCTTTGACACCGGTTGGATTTGAGTATAACTGAGATGGTGGCGGAATGAGGTCAACATTGTACTGCTGTCCATCTACCTGTTGCACATCAGGAGATCCGTATGATCCTGAAGGTGGGCGTGACACTAATCCGGGAATTGGTTGCCATCCGTCGTACTTTATGTCTGGTGGGGTAGGTGGAGCTGGTACACCTGGTGGTGGCGCGTGGGGTACCGGATCTGGTAAAGGACCATATTTAATGCTTGGCGGTGGTCCATACAACGTTTTGGGTGGTCCGATTGGCGGTTTCGGTGGCCCATACACTTGTGGAATTCCATACATGAACATGTACTTATTCGGTATGTACACAGATTTTGGTGGGCCGTATATTGGCCTAGGAGGTTTGATTGAATGTTTAAATTTATTAAAGTTGAAGGAATGTTTAATAGGGGGCCCATACTGAGGTTTTATTGGAAATGTATAGTGCGGAGGGCCATAAATAGGTTTAGGTGGNCCGAGAAATTTTGGTGCAGTCGATTTTTGGTAAAAAAGGAAGGTTGTACACTGCCTTTTTTTGAGCCCCTCAAAAAAAATTGTCTCAGATCGACCCGGAAAAAAAATTTTCTTATAGAATGTGGCCTGTAGAATCCATAATTTCAAACAGTTCCAAGATTTGGGCTACTAGTTCAAAAGTTACAGCCCTTTGAATTTTCTTTCGAAATTGGTTTCTAGTCTATAACTTTTGATTGAGGAGTCCGATCGAAAAAGTACGAATTGTTTTGGATTCTACGCACCAAGATTTATAAGAAAAAGTGTTTTCCCGAGAAATTTTGGTGCAGTCGATTTTTGGTAAAAAACGAAGGTTTATACACTGCCTTTTTTTGAGGCCCTCAAAAAAAATTGTCTCAGATCGACCCAGAAAAAAATTTTTCTTATAGAATGTGGCCTGTAGAAACCATAATTTCAAACAGTTCCTAGATTGGGCTACTAGTTCAAAGCCCTTTGAATTTTCTTTCTAAATTGGTTTCTAGTAGGGGACGCAATCCCGCAGCAAAATCTCAATCCCGGTATGGGATTGTTAGATGTTAATCCCGCGGGATCCCGTAATTTGCGGGATCTCGCAAAACTTTAAATAAATTGGCAAATAAGCAATTCTGTGCGGTTAACCTCTGTATTAAAATAAATCGCTAATTATCACAATATTTAACAAAAAGGTACCTACCTTCGGCCTAACTTAGAACTCAAAAAAACAATCAATTTGCCAGTCCGCCACTGCTTGTAGGGGGGGGGGGGGCGTTAACGCCAATCATCCACAATGGGCATCTCGGTTAATTACAACAAAAGGCAGAGAACTGTTAAAAGTACTTAAAAAAATGATATATAACGATTATTTACCGGTCACGCTACTTATTGACCTTCAGATAGGTAAAGAACATTTTTGTGTTACCAAAGGTCTAGATTATGGAGGATGTACCTTCTAGACTTCTCGAGGTTTATCGTTTGCTATATAAGCAAATTGAGTGTGATAAGTTTTTAGTCTTAACGTCGATGCCGAAATATAAATAGTAAAATCCGCGCTAGTGTTATAAATATAAATATTTATTCGTAATAAATAATAATATCTATTTAAAGGCGGTTTTAATTTAGTTCCTTGTTATTAGTGTTAGTTCCTGTGAACTTTAATTTTTAATTTACGTATTATGCAGTGTGATGGTGTTACCAAAGTTAATCAATCGTTTTCCTGCAAAAGCCACCAACAATTTCAGTAATCTTAGTAGACACATACCTAAACGACGTCATTGACAGCAGATTTTTCAAATAAAGAAGCGCAGTTATTAGTAGGGTCTTGTAGGGTTTAGGGAATCGAATATAGCATATCTACAGATGTACAAATCTTTATTTGACGTTTTTTTATTTGTGCGTCCAACGGCGAGAAGGATCGATTATTATATGGGTAAATGTCCATTTGTTTCATCTGAAATGTTCGACTGCTTGATAATAAGATTATAGTAAGCTATTAGCGGTCATACTTTGTAACATTACGAACTAGTCCATAATGATAAATTAAAACGGTCAGTTAGTTTTCAAATGTAACTACTATTCAGTTCTTCCTTGGAAGCCCACTTTTTGTTTCGTCTACACGGGAAAGTAACACTATAGTAACAACATGAACCGTTTTTGTACATACTTACACGAACCAGTGTGTGCAGCCATTCTTAAAAACTAGATAAAAATGTTCGTAAAAATTAAAACATTGTAATTTCTTAAAGTCGACCTTACTGAATCCGGTAGTAGACTAAAACACAATCAACGGGTTAATAGGTGATCTACTGGTGTCGTTAAAATGAAAATAATTTTTGGGACTAAAAGCATCAACTAGAAATTGCCTATAAATTTCTCTCGCAGCCTTTAATAAACACGCTCAAATCAGAAAGTATTCTCCTAGTTCATCCTTGTCGATGTAATAACTTTGCAAGTACTCGATAAAAATTATGTCCTCAATAACTCCACCGAGTGTCGAGGGAAATTAATGAAAACCGCTGGAAATGTTTAAATTCAGTGCTTATGGCCCAGTGTATCGATTCATTATAAGAATCGAGTTTTTTTAATGTTTTAATTTGCCGTGCGATAGTTTGGGGACCCATTCACCCACCAATTTTCTATGCAGAGCATGCTGTTCCATTACAAAGAGTTCTAACACGCCTGTGCTATTACTTAATTAAGTTATCTGTGACGTATGTTCGTTGTAAACATTTATCAAATTCACTCGTTCTTGCTATTACACTGAAAAATGTAAAGCTATTTAGCAGCAACCAGTGGCGTAGCTATCGGGGTAGAAGGGGTTGCAATTGCTACCCGGCGCCAAGTACCGAAAGGCGCCGCGGTTAGTATCGTTTATTGGTTTATTTATTATATTACTTACATTTACATCGCGGTTGGGATTAATCAGAGTAGCAAAAATTCAACAAAAATAATCTTACAAGATTTCAATTTAATTATCTAACTGTGATACAGTAAACCTGTAAGCTTATGTATAAAAGAAAGACCTTTATTTAACATAAAGGCCTATTGTATCTCGAAACTTGACAATATCACATTTCAACTGAATGAAGTCATGCGAGGTGCACGTGCAAGGATGCGATGCGAAGCATTGAACGTTATCATTATTGCCCTGCACCTGCATGTGTATGCGAGTTATCTTTATTTTTTATTTTTGGAGAAAGGCGCATTAATTGTTTTGCTACCCGGCGCATCGTACTCTAGCGACGCCACTGGCAGCAACAGAACGAAGGAGTCTATTCTTGCGATCAAAAAATGTTCTCTTCAATTTATTACTATATCATAATAGAGGATGAACATTTCTTTGCACTTATCTACCCAACTAACAAATAAAATGTTACATCAAAAAGTATCAACAGTAAACTACAGAGCGGTCCAAATAACACCACCCAAAAAAGCTACACAAGGTCTATACATTTACAATCTCTCCTTCCACATAAACGCACATAATGGGACCGGAATTCTTCACGCCTTCCTCGTAAACAAAAGCACGAACCTTCCAATACCACCCCTCTATTGGCAAAACAGCGAGAGCAATACCATCAAACGTTCCATTTTGGCATGAATATGTACCCTGAAGAATAGGAGGTATTAAGTAATTAATATCGACTGGCATTTACCTTTAATAACGGGCAACCAAGACTAGGCTCCATCTTTTCAACAAATGCACTCCAAGCCTTAAATTTGGATAAAGTTCTTTGACACGCACTTTTAATATTGATATCCTGATACGGCTCGCAAGAATCTAAATGTTCTCGTGATTTACATCTTTCAAATTTCAGAATAAGCTAAACTGATAAATTTGTATAAACTTTTAGGTCTTAATGTTACCAACCTTTAAGTTGGGTCGAATATTCCGGGTTACAACCAATTTTGCACTGATATAATACATTCTACGGACAGGTACAAAGCGCACCCCTTCAAAATGCGTAGGTAGGTGTCTATATTCAGTACAATTAAGAAAACGGTACACTTTAATAGTTTTTTCAAACTAAAATAAAAATATAATCATTTTAACTTGTATGTTCTAATTACCGGAAAAGACATTATGGATACGACATAAAGTATCGCGTAATAAGTTAATATTTTCATATTGGATACTTTCCGTGTATTAAGCTCGTACTTTATATACTACATTTATGTAATTAAGTTAATATTGATGTGAATCTAAGCCTTATCGGAGAATCTTATATCCGGTGTAATACCATCAGCTTTATTAAAAAGCGTTACGTATGCTAATAAAATCCTTTTTGCTATGAAAATACCCCAATAGTGTATAACTTTGGTACTGTAAGATTGAAGATGATACCTTCTTGACTATTGTTTTTTTTTTACAGTTTTAATTTGTATTTCCGAAAAAAAATATCGAAATACATCTGCAACTGCTGTTCTAATTACACCCGTCGGCTCTGTAGAAAATCCATTGAGGCGAACGAAAATGTAATTGAAGTCATAAGGGCATAGGGAAGTAACTTTTTCTGACTATTGCGAGGTTTTTTGTCATTATTTATTAACTAACGAGTCTTAACAGTAGATTACAATGAATATTTCTCGTGCAGAAATATTTAGATCGCAAAAACCTGCGGCCGTTGAAGCCGGATCCGCACAAATAATAGGTGCTGCCAAATAAGAAAAATTGTATAACAAATAAAAAGATTTTCGCCTTAGGGCGAATAACTGCAGCGCATTTTCCATGCATTGATCAGTAGGTACTTCCCAAAAGGCCATAACTATGTGCGGTTTTTTGTTTTTCTTTACTAGAGGCATCTATGGTTAAAATTTCAATGTAATATCTACATATATATAAGAATAAGAAAGTTGACGTTGTGCAGTTCGCGAATGCGCATATTTAATTTATGGTATATGCGATATGTTTGTTTTGAGCAGAAGCGCCTATGGTTAAAATTTTAATTTGTGATTACAATTTCATAAAGATATCTCGATAAATAAGGCACTTCATATTGCGCATCCTATGCATGCGCACATTAATCTGATGTTTACAATATGCGATATGTTTACTTTTACTAAAAGTATTTTTGAATAAAATTTCAAACCTCCACATTAATCTTCAAGATTTTCTTGTATCAGGTGCCAGAGCTTACTGAGGACGGAAAAAGTGGCGCACCAAACTTCGTTGGAAAATGTGTTAATATCGAACTCTAAGGTGTCTGCAATAACCGTAGTTGTTGAGCCATAGCTTTATTCTTCTTTACTATATTTACGCTTTGTGACTATGATATCGGTTTAATGAATGACCTAAAATTAGGAGATGGGAATGGTTTCTGAAATTTTATGTGTATGTCGAGTCCAGATTTTGAAAATCTATTGCTTATTTATTTATTATCCCTCTCTTGTTTTGGGCCCTCAACAGGCTTGCGCCCAATTACAGAGTGACCCGCATAAAGCTTTTTAGAGGTGCCTTTGCAGAAGGTTTTAAGTTGTTCTATACTACTCCGGTATTTACCTTACGAATTAGGAAAACTGATACAACATTTCGTGGTGGTATTCCACCATCACACGAGATTCGTATGGGGGACTTGTAACGATTTCCTCAATGACTGATTCCACGTCATCGCCAATATTGTACTTTCAATTGATCCTCTTTTCTAACAATAAATACTAAATGAAGTAATTCCGTGGTACCTGGTGTTTTATTATAGATGTCCTCTTCCTTATATCTGTTAATATTTACCCCACAAAAAACTTTTCATAGGATTTAAAAATACGTACGATAGAAATGTCAAATGTCATTCTATATGTCAAATTGTTGCGAAAAAATTTGTTGCTAAAAAGTTGACACAATTTATAATGACGTTTGACATTTTTATTTGGCAACATTTGTATATAAACTTTTTTCCTAATAAAGTATTAGCATAGGCATGGGGTGAAATTTATAAGTAATAAAACACCCGCTACAAATGGATTTAAAATTTTGTGGTAGGGAACATTAAGAAATTCTTTTTTCAGATCCCCGAAACAGAGGCCGAATGGAAAAAATTGTAAAGGAACACAGTCAAATATGAAATTTTGCACACTGCGTTTGGGATATGGATGATGGCAAACATATTAAATTGTTATAGATGCTCCAGCAAATCGTGGAAGCAAGGGGACTATTATTGGTTCTTTAGTTATTGTGGATGCTGATTATAGTATAATATAGTATAGTTCTTCTTTTCTTTGATTCCTTACGTTAAGATGATTCAGGAGTACAAATTTTCACTGTACGAGTACATCGTGGCGTACAGGGAGCAAATTAAGCATTCAGGATTAGTTTATATTTATCGCAAAGATTGCTAATGTACGTAAATCAAACACTTTGTATTCCTATACAGGCTACTAATAATAAGTAAGGTATTACGTGTCGGCATTGTTGGAAATCACACTTTCCTTCGACGATAGTCAATGAAAATTGTTTGAATAGCTTGATATCTACCTTACCTGCAAACATTTAGAGAAAGTGCTCTTTTGAACTGGGCACTCGTAATATCGAAGGATATATAAAATATAACAGAAGCAAGGTAATTTCTATATAAAGTTAAAATAAGCTCACTTACACAAGTGAAAGTATTTACCAATTAAACTGAAGTATTAATCAGGTGGATCAATTTCCCTCCCGAAGGCCACAGAAGAGGCTATAACTTACACCCACCTTTAATGCGTTCGAAATTTGCTCCAGTTCCTTGGACATTTACCACTTCAAGTCGTGTTGGTGATTATGTTGTTCGTAATAAGATGGGAAAGACTTTCTGGAAAGTTTTGGAAGTACAATGTATGAAACCCTCCGTACAAGAATGTCACATACAAATGTTAATTTAAGTATGGCCGAGCACAAACGCTTTATGAAGTCGAAATACTTTCTCCTGTTCAAGTCCGATGGCCAACATTAATATAATCGCCGTATGCACCGTCGCGTATTTATTGAAGACTATGCTATCGTTTTTAATTACAGCATGGTTCACTATAAATCTATCTCATTCTGATTAGACAAGTTTATCATATGAATAGCAATCCCTCAACATATATATTGAATCACATTCCTCGTTTATTAAATACGTCACCAAATACCATCATTGTTTGGAAATGGAATGCCCGACCATTTTTTAGGTAGTTTTCACTTTTGTGGTTACTATCAAGATGAATCAATGCAGTCGATAGGTAGGATTTTAAGAAAAATGAGGTTCGTCCTCCTGACACACATACTTTCGTTAGTATGACCTATCGTTACAATACGTGGGTCAATGAAAATTTCCTTTATAAATTAAGAAAATACGCAATAAAGATTTAATTCGCCAATAAATATGTAGGAGCATATGTATGCCTACGTTAGCGTACAAACTTTCCAATCTGATTGTATTTAGCCGTCTCTCTTAAAAACAAATTTGTATCACACGTGAAAATTAATTGAAATAATTATCTAGCTGATTTCTAAGATAAATGAATCCAAGCGAAACTTTTCATATTTTTGTAATGATAATATAGTCAATGACCCAAGCAAGGATAAAGCTTATTGTAAATAGGGTAAAATTAGTCCTTAGAAACATTGAAAACAGAAGTTTTCTTTTAAAAGGGAAAACTTGACACGAAAACCGTCACACTCGCATCAATATTAAGGAGTGCTAGCGCCTATTGCAATTCTGTCTTAACATTTTCAAGATCTATACCAACATTTAACATTAATGCACATTCATATGATTACGAGTATGAGTGTGATTTAATGTCCGCCAAATGAGTAGTGACCATGATGTAGAATAAGAGTTGCGAGCTTTTTCAATTTTCCGAATTTCTCTTTTAAATTTTTGTTGATGTTGATGTTTTCCTTTCTGAGAACGTCCGCAAATTGGCGACACTCATTCAACAAAACACATACCTATTATTTTGTACTATTTCTTGCTGCCAATAAAACCTTTTGTGCTGCTCAATTGATCGAGATAAAAATAGGCGAGTCAACTCCACCACGCGATACTTAAATAAAATTTAAATTTTATTTAGCAAACAACTTTATGCTAATTTTGAGCTACTCAAAGGGCAGGTAAGTACAACCAACTTTTATCCATCAATCTGGTTCGTTCCGCAAATAATACATGAGTTTGCGGTCTGTATTGCCGAGATAAACCTACGAGAGCGAGAAAACACCAAAAACACTCACCGATTTGTAGATTGTCCAAATGAACACCCTTTACATCACATTCAAATTGCATAAATTTAGGGTCAATATCCTTATAGCATGTAAGAGTTTTAGTATCTCTCATACGTGTGGAATAATTCCAGCACAAGAGTCACTTTTCGAAATTGGAAATTGGAAAAATACTAGCTGAGGTTTTCCACGTCTATAACTATACATATATGCTGCAAAAACGTTGAGTATACAATTTCTCGTACTGTGCGCTCACCTAATCAAAATTAAAAGACTAATGACCGAAACGAATTGCCGGTAGTCAAAATTCTGTAAGAAAATACAAAATAAATGCAGTCCATTCTTTGTATTTCAGCAAATATACACAAACAGCGACGGACTAGGATTAGAGAACCTTCGCAAAGCACTACTTGCATTGGGACAAACAACAAGTCGCTTCAAAAATGAAAGCTCCCATGCAAGTTCTATGATGAATGGGTCCAGATCTAAAGGACTAGGAAGAAAGATATTCAAATCTTTGAGGTGATTAATTCCCAGAGATGCTAGATCAGATCCTTTATAGTTTTGTATTGTCCCCCGTCGGTCCGTGTGCGCTATAACTCTTTTTATAGGACTTCGAGTGAATCGGGAACAGGAAAAACTGCGAGTTCAATATCATAGAAATCAACATAATTTCATTCCCTAGGTCATGTATCGAGTTCGGACTTTCACTAGATTATTCCCTATGGCCCTAAAATGTGTATATAACTCTTTTCTGTGGTCTAGGTCAAAAGTTTTAGAGCAAATGTACCCAAAATTATTCTTTACATTTAGATGTAAAAGCTTTCAAACGCATTATCTTGATTCTGAAAGAGTATTACATGCACATTTGATAACCGCGTGTGTGTGATTCAAAGATGTTCAATTCTTTTTCTGAGACCACGTGGATTTTGATCAAAACATGTCAAAATCGTTATACTTGCACCGAGATCGTTGGGAAAGAGACTAAGAGATCAATGCTCATGACATGAATTTGATGGATTTTTGTTAACTATAATATGTATTGTGTAAGATTAAAATAAATGATATATTATAATTTAGTGTTCATTGTGTATGTATATCTTAGTATTCGAATAAATTTGTGAAATGCTTTTTTATCTAATGAACTTCTTAATATTAATTGGCATTTGGATGTAAACTACAATGGGTCGATGAATAACTACACGAGCACATTTTTTTAATATTATGTAAAATAATAGAGCTGAAATTGTTTAACGTAGTTATAAAGTAAACAATAAAAAACGATATAAAGGTTGTACTTGTTATAAATTTCGTAAGCGATCGGCTCGCTTCTAATCCCTTCATGTAAACTGCCGTGGATAACACTAGAACATTTTAATCCTACTCTAAATTTTCGCAAACAGTCCTTTGACCCTTAGGTAGGTATGTTTCGAAACAAGGCGAGGGATTAGTGATATCTTTAGTTCGGCTACTGGTATGAATTATCATTGTATTTGGCTTTGTTAACGTTTGAAACGAAGTACGTTCAAACATAAATGAAAAGTACGTTTGCATCCAATCGTACTCCCTCTATTATCGAAGCATACAACAAATTCGCGAGGCTACAGTTTGCTCTAGAATTTAATTTTATTTTCATTGATTTCATTTACCATTGAGAATCTTTCATTGATGTTTTAGTCAAGGCGAAAATAGGAAATACTACGGTTTTTATTAGGTACTAATCATTGATTATACCCCAGAATTCTAATCAGTGCTATTACAATAAACAGACATATACCTACCTAGATAGGCTTAAATTACCCTTTGGCATAACTAACTATACAATAATTAGAACAATGTTTACTGTGTTTAACAAACAACAACATGGTCTATCAAACTTGTTACACGTCAATTAATCAATTAGGCTCATACTGTATGCCTATCAACCCCTTCACATACACGGCTGTTGATTTTGTAGCTGCGTTTTATTCATGAGATACCTACTTCCTATACTTCTGCATCAATGTACAGTCTCTTGTAAAAGTAATGTCCCTCGGATACCTACCACTGTAGCATAGGCAACCAACATCCCAGCCGACTAGTTCAAGTTGGATTTGCGGGTGTGGGGGGTAGGTAGGTATCTAATGCGGTTCGTTTTCAGCAGGTATTCCCACTTTGCCAAACTAAAAATAAGTTAGTAGAATGAAAATGAATGGCATTTATTAGCTCAAAAGATCTGCGCTGCTTTAATCTATCCTTGGTTTAATACAATAGAAATTTTTACATTTCTTTCAATTGGTTTGGTGCGTTTTAAATTTGGAAATACTTTAGCTAAAATAATGACCTTTTACTTTTAATTTTTTCGAGTAGATTTTCTTCTAACAAAATAAATGTGATGATTTTGTCGTTTTATACTGACATTGAAATTGATGTCTCATTATTATATACTCGGGCCTCCTAATGGAATGCGATTATCTGCACTGGAAGCGCGACAATGCCGTTCCTTTTGTAACTACCACCTCCCACTCCTTTCAAACCCCGGAATGACACCCGCGGAAGAATTCAGCTGCTTTAATTATTTTTCCCTAATTTCTAATCATTTCACCTGCATGAAAAAGCCGGTTTAACTGGTAACTAATTTTTTTGTCAAAAAATATACCTATAACCTGGACTAAATATCCTTATAATATGCCTACCTACTCAAAAATATGCAACGTAAAAGCTCTCCTAAACTAAATTCGATATTAAATCAACCACGACCAAGTATCACAAATGCATATCATTTAATTTCTGATGCTAGTTACAAAAGAAAGGTATTGTTGCACAGTGCACTTGTAGGGCAATTAATCGCATTCCATGAGGAGACCTATACTCGCAAGTAATTATTAATGACACTGGAATTTCAATGTCATTAAAGGACAAGAATATCACCTTTATTTCGTTAGAAGAAAACCACTCAAAAAATTAAAAAGTGAAAGGCCATTATTTTGTCTTAATAGTCTCTAGCTAAACTATTTGCAAATTTAAAACGCACCAAACCAATTGTAAGAAATGTAAAAATGTTGCACCAAGCCAAGGATATGCAGCGCAGATCCTTTGAGCTAATAAATCGATGGCATTCACTTTTATTCTACTAACTAGTATTTAGTTTGGCTAAATGGGAATATCTGCTGAAAATGAACCGCATTAGATACTACCTCGCACACCCGCAAATCCAACTTGGACTAGGCGGCTGGGATGTTGGTTGCCTATGCTACAGTGGTAGGTATCCGAGGGACATTACTTTTACAAGAGACTGTACACCTACCTACCATTATTTTAAGTGAATTCGGACACACATAGTACAAGTTGCAAAATTGGTGCACATAAATTGAAATCACGATGCAGCATTTTTATGTCGATACTACTTATTGTACCTAACGTAAATTTAGTTACGTGATTTCTATATAAAATTTATTATTTATGTTCACAGGAACTAAATTAAAACGATCAGATTGATTTATAACAGGTTAATTATTATTTATCAGTTACTTAGGTATCACCCCATTTCCCGAAACCAGGATATTTGACTTTCTTTTGGAAAAGGTTGCACTTCTTTGTACTAAAGTTGGAGGTTTGCACTGCGCAACATAATAAATACGTCTTTGAGATTCTTGAGGTGTCCATTCCATGAAGCAAGTACGCATCTTGGTAGCGGCAAATTAACCTCGTAGTCTGGCCTCTTTGGCTTATTGTCAAATTCTAGCATGTCGCAGTGATCAGGACTTGAATCCCAGCTACTGAGGCACACTTCCCAATCTCAGTAGCCTTCTGTAATATGGTCGTGAACGAGGGCAAATTCATCAGCCTACCAAGCGTCCTTGTGCCCAAAAAGAATGGTCCCTGGAGACCATGCCGTGACTATAGACAGCTCTTGCCATCAGATACCTGTCAAGCTGGCAAAAAACCGCCATCACCACTCCTTTGAACTCGAGTTTCCGGTAATGACGTGCGGGCTACGGAACGCAGTATAAACGTTTCAACGTCTAATCAACATTGTTGGCACCTCAGCTACATAGCCCAATTCACCACCGACATACGCCACATCTCAAGCAAAGACAGCATCCTCGCCGACGCTTTATACAGAGTACACTTTGTTACCACGTCTCCGTCGCCCGCAGATTACCAGAAGATCAGCTTTAAAACGACAACCTCCAAAAATTTTCTTAAGACGCTGTCTGGTTTTCCAGTCGCTGATATTCAACAAATTCCACAACATGCCCCACCCGAGCGGAAGGAAAACGTCCAAGCTAATCATCCAACTTTTCGTGTGGCCTAAAATGAGTTGATTTTTTATTAATCTTGAGGCCTTTAGTATATGTTTTGGTAGATTGTCTATTGTAACGCATACTTGTACTTACTTCTTCCAACTTTTAAAGCTATAATCTTTCAGAAATATTCATCCTTCGGTGGACCTAATACTAATAATTACTGTACTTTTTAATATAAGCAAAGTAGCGTAATTTTTTTACTTCTGCCAGCTTTTCAAGTTATAATCTTTCAGATATATTCATTTTTCGGTAATCTAAAATATGTCGACTTTCAAGTAATTTTAGAGAAAGACTATGGACTACCTATAATTCTGCAGAAAAAGTTACCTGTCCGTCTTCGACCGGGGAAAACTTGTATATTTTGGCCGGTAAAATCCAAAACTTCCGGAAATTATGGGCAATTTCCAAAGAAAAAAATGAGAAAGGTATAACTTTTGGTGTAGTGATCAAATAAATTCTGTCGAAAGTTGAAACTTTTTTTTTGTAAATTTTGGCCTGCAGAATTCAAAACATGTAGAATTTTCAAGATTAACGGACTACATCAAGTTATGGGCAAAGAAACAGAAATGGCCAAAATCTACACAAAAAAAGTCTTTCCCATCTAAAATTTGTCGATTTTCGGAAAAAATAGCAATAATGACTTGCCTATATAAATGCTATCAAAAGGTGAGTTGTCTGTTCATTGGGAAAAAACCTCATTTGGGCCTGTAGGATACCAAAACGACCAGAATTTTCAAAAATAAACCATTGCATCAAAAATTATAGCCCTTTACTTTTAGCGTATTTCTACCAATGGATTGCTTTCTGAAAGTTTGTCAGTAGTAGGTTCTTATATTAATACGAACCGACAACGCATCTCAAAAATTGGATAACACATACATAAACCGTATTTCTCTTATTTGTGGACCAATTTTATTGAAATTTAACCGCTCGTCAATTTGACATAAATGTCAATTAAAGCTAATATAGTTGATAGTTTATTTACTTATTTATTTATTGTCCCTCTTGTTCTGGGTCCTCATGCAGGCTTTCGCCCAATTACAGAGTGTCTCTCATAATGCTTTTTAGAGGTGCTTCCGCAGAAGGTCGTAAGTTCGTTCTATCTATAGTATACTCCGGTATTTACTTTACGAATAGGAAAACTGCAGGAAAACCTGATTCGGAGTAACCGGCAGAATGCTCGAAATTGATGTAAGGAAATTTCCATCTCTGCCACAGATGAAATTCGCTTCGATAGTGAAAATCAACTCATTCCACCGAATCGGTTCTATAAAATCCATACAAAAGAGTTCCCTCCATAGAATGCTCTGTCGACATTGCATACGATTTCGGTGACTTCTTGTATTGCATCTACGGGTTCAAATTGAATTATGCATTGAATTGGTCATCATTTGTATGCCACCCAAAATTGCATTCGATATCTAAACAGTATTCTTGCAAAAAAACTGGCAAATTAACGGTTTATCATCATTATTTGTTGAAATGGCTCAAAACAAATTTGACTGGAGTAGCACATTTTTTTCACAAAAAAGAATGTTAATGTGGAAATGCGTTTTTTGCACATCGTTTACGAGTAGGTACTTTTGTAACTTTGACCATAAATACATAATGTAGATACTTCAGTAAGTATATTTTGACTATAGTTTCGAAGGTATGGTAACCAAATCATACTATACTACTTTGAATGATACATGTTAATATACTTTTGACGGTTAACAATGGAAACGATTATGCGCCCAATGTTTTCACCATGCTTAATTAAACAATTTTGGAAAACACAACTATTTTCCTACAAAACAACGTTGCTTTGAACCAACACTTAAAATATATAGATCAATCTGCCAGAATAGTACAATTATCCTTACTTACTGTAGCAAAATTGTGATGTATGCTCATTCTTTTTCCAGCAAAAATATTTAAACAAAATCTAGTATGTTTTGTGAAAAAAGCTTTGGACAATTATTCAGTATTTGGAAATAATTCAACTTTGATGTCATTCAAATTTTACTGATCTTTTACATAAAAAACAATTAAATCGCTTACTTTACACAGGAAATTTATTTTGTCGCTAGTTACAAATGAACATTACATAAGTAGTCAGTGTGATTACCTTGATACATCATGTACCCAGTAAACGCAATTAAATTAACGTAAACTATATAATATACGTATATGTAAAGTGAAGTAGTACGAATAACAACATTCACAAGGTGTCTGTAAAAATACTAAAATAATAACAATATTGGATTACATATGATTAAATAATGGCACAAATAATAGTTTAACGCTCCTATAAACTATACCTGAATTATATTAACAAAGCAATCTTAGAAAACATAATATTTGAACTGAAAATAAAACTTACATAGCAAATTGTAGTTCATTTTGCTACTCTTATTATGATTATGAAGCTCGATATGAGATGCGGTCATGCACAATCAATATGCTACCGACTATTAAAATTCACTCGTCTTTTTGTTATTTTCCCGTTTATTATTGAAAAGACAATTGAAAAAATTGAAATACTGTCTGACAACATTGCAATAGGTACTGCGAATTAATTCAACCGAAAAGGTTAGATATTGCATTTCCATCGTAGCTGCCACATCCTCACAATCATAACGTAAATCTTATCACAATGTAAATAGCACCTAGCAATAATAATTTTCAAAAAATATTGCTTTCTATCGATATGGCAAATCGAGCATAGATTGGGGCCGGAAACATTTTAAGTGCATATAAAAGTAGTAGTTATAAATAAATCTGAATCTTAAGACAGCCCATCTTACCTACAACTTAAATATATCGTTACAGAAATGTATCGCACTACTAATACAAAACTTTCTTTTCAAAAAAGGGCAAATCAAAAATGTTGTCCCTAATTACTTAGAAGGAGGCGGAGGGGGCGCAGTACCATTGCCGGGTTTGGAATTATAGCGCGACGGATATAATGATGGCAATCCATATAAAATATTTAAAACATGTGGTGAGACATTGGCCCGCAAGAAACTGTTTTCGCGTTCCAATTGCCCAATTCTATCCAATAATACTGTAATTTGCTGCTTTAGAGTGTCAACTTCTTGATTAACAGCATAGAGTAGGTAACCTTTGACCAGGTCCTAAAAATGAAAATAGCATTAGTAAGTATATCAACATCGTCATAAAAATTGTTAGCATGATATAAGATTGCGACGACAGTATGGTGCATCCAAGTGGAAACGAAATTGCATTGGCTTGTGTTTTTTCTGGTCGAAAGTAATTGTGTGATCACGTTAAACTACATCGAGACTTACGAACACACAGTTTTATCTGGAAATATGTGATGCAAATTATATGAATTATGAATTTTCGTTAAAATAAAAACTTTATCTTATAATATTGTGTTCTATGCCTATTTTCAGGAATATATCTCGACTGATAGGTACACATTTCTCTCGATGTGACGGCCTCTCCGTAACACTACCCTCCCCTTTAATACTGAGCTCCGGATCTGTACTGATGCCTTTACCCCCCTTGATAAGGATTTAGTCGATACAGATGGACAATTTTCATTCGATACTAGCATATATATATAAAATTAAAAAGCAACCCAACATATAGAGTATTTTATTTGTGCATATACTTCATTATCCCTTCCATTAATTTATACATCCAAAGTATTTACACCAGCACGTTTGTCACCTATACATAGCTTGAGTAAGAAAGTTATGGGGAGCACGGTGGGTCTGGTGCACAGGGTGCAGAAAGAGCTCTCTACTGCACAACGTTTACAAGAAGCTTACAATTGTTTCAATTTTTTAAAAGGGAGAGAGCGTTTCTTGGACGCCTGCACCACAAAATTGACAATACACTGTCAGATTCCTAATTTCTTAGTTCTTAAGTAGGCTGCAAATAAGAGTGGGGGTGATTTCTAAAAAGCATAATGATCACAATTCTTAAGGGTGAATTTTTATTGAGTAAGTGACTATACTCCGGTTGAGGAGAATTTTCCTTCGAGAGCCAATTTATATGGAGGACAGTTTTCTCGGGATGGAATATATAGAAGCAACCTTTTGGGGCTCGACCTTTCTTGAAAGTGGATTTTCCTAGAAGAAAGTTCCTGGTGAGTAAGTATTCAAGTACCTATTCAAGATCACTTAAGAGTATTTAATTGAAACAATCAAAAAGTAAATATATTGCTTAATGAAGTATCACACCGAAAACCAAAATTATGCGATAATTTCCCCCAAAGTTCATGCTATTAGGTACTACTTAATGTTCTCCTACACCTGGAGCTTTATCTCCCAAGTTGGTTAAACAATTTGGAAGCTAACATACTTCTTAGTAAACAGGTAGGTTAATATAAGTGGAATTTGTTATTATTCAACTACCTAAAAGATACTTACCAATGCCAGTTCAATTCTTTGGTCGATAACTGTAGGGGTACTTGATGCGGTACTAAAAAGAAGTAGGCATTAGAATAATCCAATAACTACGATAAAAACAGTATACATATCGGTGTAGGACAAAACCAAAAAAAAATATTTTGCGTGGGAAAAAGTCAGCATAATTAAGCACGGCGCTTTTTAGAGAGTTGTATTCCGTCCAATTGTCATTAACATCGCCGGTTAATAATAAATAAGGGTAAACTCGATTGGTTCAAGGTTACGTCCAACACGTCATAACCACTACAACTGGAAAAAGCATTTTTTTGCTCATTCACTTACCCAACAAAATTTTTTATAAAACAGTAGACGGCGAAAAGAGTTGTGTCATTAATGTTTAAATCTGATTGTAAAATTGGTAACGTCGTGACAGTTAGCTCTTGCAAAGGGCTGGGAACGAGAGGTTTCTGGGCAGTCGTCATTAGGAAATTTTGTCACCAATACATCATTAATTTTACACACATCTTTTCGTAACTAAAACGAACCGGCTTTAAAACTACCACCACCTCAGTATGGAGAAATTTCAACCCCTAAACCTATTGATTCGACGCCGAAGTCATTGCGCTTAATGCAAACGACGCGACGGCATGAGTTATCAAACTTGTTATAGTAAAAATTGTTTTCGTAAATTTAACATCTATTTACTTTTCATTAATCTTTAATAAGCTTATTCAAAAACTTGTAAAAACTACCGGTCTCAGAGCTAAATATTATAACAATCTCAGGTGTAAAAAACAACCGACAGAACTGTTATCCAATACGTTAATGTACAAGTAATTGAAAATCTTTCCTAATTTGGGGAGAGTACAATGTGATCATCAGTATAATCGCCATCTTTGTTGGTCAACCCTAAACCGAAAGTATTCGACTAAGGGCTTACAAATGCTTTGTATTCTAGAATGCAAAAAAGTTATTAAAAAAAGGAAATGTTGTATTTGTTTTCCAATTTCGTGTGAGAAACGACAAAACATTGGCTTTATGCAGAGGAACCAAATTTTGTCCTCTTGGTGTCATCTTTTTGGTAATGGAAGATCTTTATTACTTATCGAATTCAAACTTTTTTTGCAAAAAATGAATTATTCTTGTTATTTATTAATATTACATTATTACATTACTTTTGTTTTTCTAATAGTATTATCTTTCTTTTCTTTTTTTGGTACTACAGTAAGTCTAATTTAACTCTCATCTGTTATTAGATTAAGCATGTTGGTTCAAACAGCAACTAAATAAATTTAAAGAAAACATCAAGATAAAGTACTAATAAGATTCTAAGAAAATCCTAAGATTTAAAAGATTCTAAAAAAGGTTCCAAAAGGACTCTACGATAATTCGGAAAAAATTTTAAGTAACTTTCAACAAGTTTACAAGATACGGTCCTATGAAAATTGTATGAAAACTGCAAATTCTAAAGTAAATTCTAACTGCCTATAGGTGAAGGTATTTAGATTCCAAAAGCTCTAAAAGTTCTGTACAGATTTTATAAGATCCTAAGGACATGAGATAAACAAATCTACATAAGAAATTTTTCTATCGAGTAATATGCCTTTTTGAATAATACATTTTTTATAATGATTTTGAACTCTGTCGGCGTCAATTTAATTAAATGGTTCTTAAAGAAAAAAGGACCATAAGTATGTTGAGCCCATTTCGGCTGCCGGTTAACCTTTATCAGGATAACATTTACAAACGGATCTCGACAGGTTCGATTTTCCCTGCAATATTTAATTAAAGAATGCTTGGTAGTACCCACGCATGACATGACACATTCTTCAACATATCATTTGATGTTATAATTCGCTATCGCAGTTATAAGCGTAAACTATCAATGTTTATGAATGAAAAATGGTAGTCATCCATTGAATGATACTCAACTTAAAACATTAATTACGTCTGATTCATTGTAACTGTAATAACACTAACGCTTCCAGTAAATGATAAAGTACACATTTTTGAAATATTTTGGGAATGCCAAAAGGCAATGCATACAAACAAGACGTTAAATATTTACAAATGCGTTTACAACGTCAACTTGAAATTGAAACATCTATTCCCAACGTACTTTGCGACCTCACCCCAAAATACCTTTGGATGAAACCAATAGTCGACAGTTTTGTGTACATACAGTAGATCGTATGATTACGACCACCAAGAACATTTCAAAAACTGTGTACCTATGGCATGATTTTAAACTTTTTTCGGAATTGCGAAATTAGGCACGGTACTACTGCAAAAACGCTATAGGCACCATACTTACTACTTAAAAAGGATTACTTACTTATTGTTTATGTCCGGATTCGGCACAACTTGATCACCCATGTTCATTGGAAACGATCAACGAAATATTTGGAACTTATAGGTAAGTAGCAGTAAGTACTCTTTAATTGAGTGTAAAGGTTCTTGCCAATAGCACTTATAGACTGATTAGCATTGTACAATATTGAAATAGGTAGCGATATATTAAGAGCACGGTGGGGGTAAGATGTAAGAACAAATTGTAATAACACTATTGGTGAGCTAATTCGCGCTAATTTAACTATAATTTGGTTTTTCAATCAATGTTTACCTAAACTTGCCCATTATTTGCGCGATATACAAAATATTAATCATCATCACCAGATTTGTTATTTATTTACCTACACAAATTTTGTATACAAATTAGGTAGATAATTAGGTACATACAGGGAATTCAATTCGTTTACCGTATTCGATTTGTTTGTACCAGCATAGTGTAAGAATTTACACTATGGTACCAGGTATGCAATGGTGTCATTTGTAGGTACTATCACCAAACGGTTGTAACCAGTATTAAAATTGAGAAGAAATAGTACCTACTCACAAATTCCGCAATCTTAGAGATGGTCATTATTTTACCTATCCTCATGAACAACACGCATCAGGATCGAAGCTGAATTGTAAAAAGACTCTTATAACCTCCCCCATACTTGGTTACTTAACATGGGCCTAACTAAGAGGAACCATGGACTAATTTTTTTAGTCTATGGAGGAACTAAACTGTTCGCTTTCATAATAATTCAATTCCAAAATAGCATAAGTAGGTAGTTATAGGGTTACTGTAGACTCGTTAAACATAGTGCTCGTTAACACTTTTCGACCAACCTTTTTGTAAATCAAGGTTAAAATAAACCTTAATAAATATTGCGAGACAAAGTGGGGTAAGAAGTACGATCGTCGTTACTGACCATAAGAAATCATACGGCGTAGTGGGCACGCGTTTCAATGTTGCATATGGTAGGCAACCTTCTGGTTACAGTCTCCAAATATCGAGTCGGGGTAGTGCATTCGTCATTAGCGTTCAGACCTCGGTTCAGACCCCCTTATATTTCTTATTAAACTTAAACTTAAATTCTTACTAAATAATAACTTTGACAATTATTATTTCAGTTGCTAAACAACCTCTACTACGCATACTTAATTCCCCACATAAGGTACTCCATGCCCGTGGGAATGCTGACACGCACGAATTGTTTCTATGGTAATGGCAGATACTCAAGAAGTATTGAACATAGGATGAAGATACAGACTTATTAAGTTCTTCGCTCCTCTTAAGTGCATATTAAACATAAATGATTTTAATAAGATTCACAACATTTCCAGAAACGAAAGATATAGGTATGTGGTTAAGTAGGTATGTGCTTATATAGGCCGTCAAAAGCTACGATTTAGTTTCCTCAATATAGGAAATGTACCTAGGTAAATAGGTTGTGATCTTGAAGAAGGCCTCTTAATGCCAGGTGAAGAGGCCGAGCAACGACCTGTCCAGATGGGTTCAGGCAGTGTCCATGGCGACAATGAGGGCGAGTGACAATCTCATTTTATGGTTTGACTTATGAATTTTATTTTAAATTTCTCTGAATTTTCCTCACTGTAAGAAACCAATTTCCTGAATATTACAAAGAGATCCAGAGCTGAGCAGTATTGGATGTTCTAAATACTTTTTAGTAGGTAACTCATTCAAATAGACTTTTATGAAAGCAGTAGGTATTTGTATGTTTAATTAAAATACTCTTAGTATTCGAATACCTACTTTACCAACTAATCAAATACTTTGTAAAGTAGGTACTTACTTATCCAAATACTTTTTAAGTTATTCAAATACTTTGAGAACTATTCAATGTTTTTAAAGTATTCATTAGAAAGTATTTAAATATTAAATTAAATTAAATTAAATTAAAAGGATTTAAATAATAGTAGGTATACTTGAATACTTTTGAAAGTATTCAAATACATTCTAAGGCGTTTGAATTTGGAAATATTTTAATACATTGTCAAAGTATCTGCGCTATCCCTCCCCTGACGCTATTTTAGAAGCGACTTTTTACCGCATTTATAGCTAAGGGTGGTGAACACATTATTCAGCAGTCAAACATTTTTGTTTTTGGAGTTCCAGGTTCAATGCAAATGTTACTGTACTATAAAGTAATAGTAGCCCTGAAATTCTGTGTGACATTTCAAGATTTTATACTGTTGTGTGGCTCATATAGACTGGTTCACTTTTCGAAGTTTCTCTGTCCTAGGGGCATTTCAGACAACATTTGGCCAACTAGGTTTTTTTTACTAATTTACGAATATCGATGTTGGCACCTCGAAATCTGAACAGGAAGTCCAGAATTCAAGATGGCGACCATAATTTCCGAAAATGTTAATCTTTTCTCTCATGCGACCGATTTTTTCGATCTAAAAACGGATTATAATGTTATTCCCAGGGTTATTCCTGACATACGTCACGATAATAATAGTTGTTTAAACAATAATGTAATAGTTTTTTTAGTGGCAGGATGCGTAAAATTAAGAATTACGAAGTTCCCAGTTCCCCTTGCCAAATTGAGGACTTGCAAAACGATTGTTTCTAGTAATTCTGACACATATAAGTATTCCCGACATGCGTTTATATTGCATAATCTTATACAGTTTTGATAACTACAATCTTTCGAATTATACGTTAATTCTTAAATGAAAAAAATTAAGGAGGTCAACTAAACTGCGGTGTTTCGGAAGATTCCTATTTTGCTAGATATTAATTACCGTTACTCAGGATATATTATTATTATTATTAAAGTATGAAAGCATACAGAAAAGTGAATACAAATTAACACCTTATTCTCATGATGTTAGGTCAATCGTCTTCTTGAGAATTAGGTACCTAGTACAAATCAATTGAGCCTTGCGACATTTACAAAGTTTTGACGAGCAATCCTATTACAACCACAAAAAAACGATATCTAGACCAGCCTTCGGAATTAATCTAACATTGTGAGAATGGGAATGTAGCCATTTTCAATTCTTTCCCCAGGAAGTCAAGGATAGATATGCTAGTCTGAGCGACATTTCAGAGTTTAAGATCAAAAAAGTACCTATGAGATTTACCCCTGCTATGCCGTAATGACGGAAATGGATGCAATGCTAGAGAAGATTAGATAGAATCCCAAGAGAATGGAGGTCAGAATGTTAGATCTAAAGCTTCGTAACTCCTGAAACCTGGCAATGCTTCACCACTCTGGGAAGTCCTACTTGGTTCACCGAGATGGGGCCCAGGGACGTGCGCTTTCTTCCAAACGGACGTCTGATAGCGACTTCTTCCTACCGAACAAAGCGTGACGCGCACCGTCGGTGGAAACTATAGAATCAACTACCTAAAGAGGCGCCGCCTAAAATATATGAGCCAAGTCGATACCCTGAACAAGTAAAGTTTCATGTACCTAGTTATGACACCAACCTTTTATAGTTCTATCACGAAGATTTTTGCAAAAGAGATATCTTCTCGCTGAGGAGTATTAGTGGAATCATTCTGTAGTTTGACCGTGAACAAATTGCAAAAGAATTGATTTAAGCGGTTTCTAAATGAAAAAAATGTGCTGAAAACGATGGAATAAAGTTTACCAATGTTGACGCCGGGAAATGCCTTAACCGGAAGTGACAACCCGGAAATAAATAGTTTTTTGGCTCATAACTAAGTCATAATTGCTTTTATTAGGAAAAAAATTGTTCTATGCAAAATTAAAGATCATCAAAATCCCTACAAAAATGTATTTTGTTGGAGCAGTGGTTTAGGCGCAATGCGTGTATTTATAATTGCGAAATAAACTGCACCACTTCCGGTTGACGAGTATTAACAAAAATTTAATCAGTTAGTCCCTTGACCATTGTCTACCGGTTACTGGAAACAGAATTGGAAAATTCGAAACCGTTCGCGGGTTATCATATACACAGATTGACGGACCCACGAACGGACGGACGGATAGAAAGTCCAAAACCATGAACTCGCTTTTTGTTGCTCGTTAATAAGCTTCAAAATACATAAGAAATTTTAGACCTAAATCACGTATAACGAACACATTCTCTCAAAAAAATTTCGCTGCAGAATTTAAATCGTATGTATTGTATTAAGATTAATTTAATTTACGACAGAAATAGAGCATTTATGATTACCGTATGCCCCGGTGCCGGCCCACAGAATGCAGTAAACGGAATGATTCGTCTCATTGTATGGAAACCAGTTTTACATTTATATACATATAAGTTCTAACAATTATTCTGATGGAGCAGGAGGAATGTCTGTCTCTATGGGGAGCATTTTTCCGTTTTATCAATCCCCAAACGCCATTATAAAGGATCCTGTTGGTTTCATTTCCATTCTTGGAGGTCACGTCTCCACCTTTTCGGAAAATAATCTAGTCCTCAACAGTTGGTTTACACTCATAAGTTACTATTAGCTCCTTCTCTCCGACTGGATTTGATGTTGTTTTGTGTAGCTTTTTGGTTCAGGAATACCTCTGGTTGATTTTTGAAGTTGGTTTGTTGCAATACCTTCACTGCTACTTCTTTGCCAATTCCAAACAGTTTTGAAGTAGTACTTGTCGCATCCTAAACAATCTAAAGAATGATGTCCTGCCTCACAAAGCACTCACCACTACAACACAGATAATAGGCAATAATTTGCATACTTTATGATTATGAATGAAAATATTTGACTAAATTGCATATCTACTTCGTCCGATATCACATTCACTAAGTCTTATACCATTGATTATAATCGATGCTTATACGTTATGATTAATTTATAAGAGGAAAAGTTATATTTATAGGAAGGTTACTTGCGATCCTATTGGACCCTTTCACTTTAATCCTGTTCCGTATGATACGAAATTTGTCGTAAGAAACGTTTTGGAGTAAACTTTGCCTAATTTTTTATGTTTGCAGCTTAGTTCGTAGTCGAATTCAATAGTGGCTCTATAAATACATACATTGCGCCTAAACCACTGCTCCAACAAAACATTTTTTGTATGGATTTTGATGCCCTTTAATTTTGCATAGAACATTTTTTTTCCTAAAAGCAATTCTGTCTTAGTTATGAGCCAAAAACCATTTATTTTCGAGTTGTCACTTCCGGTTAAGGCATTTCCCGGCGTCAAACATTGGTAAACTTTGTTCCATCGTGTTCAGCACATTTTTTTCATCCAGAAACCGCTTAGATCAATTCTTTTGTAATTTGTTCTCGGCTCGGTTGTCGGTTAACTGATTTTTTAACATAAAATGACTCCACTAGATATATGGAGCCCAGCGTGAACAATAAAGGATGCTTTTGAAACACTCCCTGGTTCACATCCGGGTTCGGATATAGATATTTGTAACTGTCTAGTGGGTTGGGTTGGTAAGACCAGCCTTGGCTAAACCCCCCCCCCCTGCTTAAAAATAAAGGACAAAAATAAATAAATAAATAAAAATAAATAAATGCATCCAAGCGTCGAAAATCACAACAGCAATGACGTGACATCACTTCCTGTGGCAGCGTAAAAGAACAGGATATTTGTTACTACTCTCTTTGGCCAGTTCCTCTGCACATCATTATGGATAGGAACAAAAAGATTATCTTCCCTGAAGTACTGGTCAGCAACCAAACTTTGTTTGCCAGTATTTTCTCGAAGAAGCAACAGAAATACATCTGTATCTGTAGCGTTATCCTAGTATCTGCTTCCTTGTGAAAAGGAGGATATCTGTGTCGTCTGACGGTTACAGAAAACTTTACTTTCATCACTGAAGCCTCCAGCAATCACCAGTACGCCGTCAAATGAGGCAAGGTGATGCGACAAGAACTCGATCGGATTTCTTTTGTTTTCCTCTATGAAAGGAAATTCTTCCAAATTTAAACAGTATAGCCCGAGGTATAGCCATAGTACCTACTATGAAAAAAAGGCTTCCTCTTTTACGTACTTTGACGTTAGAAAAACTATGAAATCATTGCCGTACCTCCGTCAGGAATAACATTATAATCCGTTTTTAGATCGAAAAAATAAAGTGAAAAATCAACATTTTGGGAAATTGGCCGCCATCTTTAATTCTGAATTTCCTGTTCAGATTTCGAGCTGCCAACATCGATATTCATGTTCAACAGTTCTAAATTAGTAAAAAAAAAACGCCTATTTGGCCAAATGTTGTCTGAAATGCCCCTAGAACTTGTTAAACCGCTGTTTTTTATAAAAGTGAACCAGTCTAATACTGGGCAACCAAGCGTGTTACACAGCGATATCTATTTTTTTAATATAATATGGGGAAACGTACACCTGCTTAAATTGTGGCACATCCCTTGCCCGAGACCTATTCTCTTATACTTACATGGTGATATTACATTTAGGTATTATACACTGCGATATTCGAAAAAAAACTAAAAAAAATAATAAATGTTTATTTATGCTCATGCTACATCCTCCTCATGTAGTATCTACACCTATAAACTCAAAAAATCCTACACATTAAGCATGCACAAGCACATATAACATGTGACACAGCGTTCTAAGTCTACTGCTAGTAGGTATATTTAAGCTGTGTAAGTGCAAAAAGTTAAAAATGATGGGCTTGGTACATCTGACACTTACGAGTTTGCTAAATTATCAAAAATAGCCCGTGTGGCCAAAATACCGATGTCGTCGAAAATACTGAACGGACTTGACATAATTGGAAAGGTCGACAAGACAGAGGAATCATCTATGACACCAACCGAGTTTTCTGCAGATCCATCTGTGCTGGAAGCTAAAATATTAAAATTGTAACTGCGGTTCGGTATTGTTCGTGTGATTTTACCTAAAAATACTTTGTGTGTTGAGCTCGTGTTAGCTTGTGTTGTTATAGGAACAGAATCTTTATTGATGGAGGTGGTCACTGACTGAGGAGGTGCCGGGTTTTGCCTCTTAATTGAAAATTTAACAGTGGAAACTTCGGACAAGGCTTCGGTATGAATGTCATTTCGCTCAACTTCGATTGTGTGCAAAGGTGCTTTCTTTAGGATACAACCGTTGTGTGTTGAAGAGGTTTTAAGTGGTGTTTGTGTGAAAAGTTCCCAAGCCAGGTATGAACTCACCGTTTCAGTTTTGTGACAAGGAGGGGCTGAATTGCACGGTTTGTTTTCGTTTAGTGAATCGGACTTTCCAGCTTCACACTCATTGAATCTGGGAGATGTTTTAAAATCTTGATGTAGCGAGTTATGAATAATGTCTACCAGGGATAAACCCATCAATGAATCCAGATTAAATTTTAAATTTTCGGATTTCAAAAAGTCTTGTTTTGTGGCATTTGACAATATTTTCTCACAAGGCTTGCAATAAGCATTAGACACTGTGACAGCTCCATTTTTAGTTTTTAGATTGGAGTGTGGAATCGATGCGTGGTCTGGAAACTTCTCCTTTTGAGAGTGTGGAAAATAAGAGGAGTGCAATTCAGAAACGGAACAAATCATTTTAGGGGATGTAGATTTTGTTATATCTGTAGAACTCAAATTGGTCCCAAATTCTACACTATTCTGAGATTGTAACGTGGTGGCCGTCATAGTGTACTGCAATTCTGAACAAATCTCCAGGCCACCGGATGATTTATACGTGAAAGCGTTTTTGGGTGCATAAGGAGATTCGTCTAAATAGTCCATACACCACCACCGACCTCGTCGGAAAGGTGTACTTGTTTCAACCTTGACTACTTTAAACCTAGTACCTGGAAAACGACTAGTTTTAACTTCTATATTTGGACTAGATAAACGTTTTGATTCCGACGTAATGAATACAATATCTGATTCTTCACTAGCCTTATTTAAATCTGTCGTATTATCGTTACTAATGGGAGATGTACTTAAAGGCATCATGGCAAGTCCATATTGTGAACTAGGAGGTATAACAGTCACGGAACACAATGCACTGCACAGGCCAATGTAATCTTCGGCATCCCGAGAACACGTGTCCTCTGAATAACTAGGGGTTTCGTTATCTGTTACGCGTGATATATCATCCGTGTGGGATTCATCGAGATCATCGGCCGAATCATCACCACAATCGGGACGTTGAGTAACACTAACCGCTGTTACTTGGAATGAACACGACGATTGTTTTAACGGTGGAGGTGATAGTACTCTCGTAAGCTGCCTGGAGGAATTACTTAATAAATCTGCATCCCCTAATCTAATTGTTTCACTTGTGGTTCTATGAATAACATTGTTTACTTTTTTGGATTTAACTGTATTCCTTGTTTTTATCTGAACCGAGCAAGACATGTTAATATGAATGATTATCGCTCGTATAACGACGTAAATAATAATTAAGTACTTCTAATTTAAGACCAATAAATAAGAAAATCGGTTAGATAAAATTCTAACCTCCAGGCAGCCGGAGAAGTACCTATGCGGAAATTGATACCAAAACGACTGCGCGTTTCTTTTCTATGTGCTATTTCATTTGTCGAAAAAGTAGGGTCAAGGACGTCCATCATTTAAATTTAAAACCGGCAATCTACCCTCTACTCTACCATAGATTTAAAAAATCGACTGCACCAAAATTTCTCGGGAAAACACTTTTTCTTATTAATTTTGGTGCGTAGAATCCAAAACAATTCGTACTTTTTCGATCAGACTTCTCAATCAAAAGTTATAGACTAGAAACCAATTTCGAAAGAAAATTCAAAGGGCTGTAACTTTTGAACTAGTAGCCCAATCTTGGAACTGTTTGAAATTATGGATTCTACAGCCACATTCTATAAGAAAATTTTCCGGGTCGATCTGAGACAATTTTCTTTTCGGGCCTCAAAAAAAGGCAGTGTATAACCTTCCTTTTTTACCAAAAATCGACTGCACCAAAATTTCTCGGGAAAACACTTTTTCTTATTAATTTTGGTGCGTTGAATCCAAAACAATTCGTACTTTTTCGATCAGACTTCTCAATCAAAAGTTATAAACTAGAAACCAATTTCGAAAGAAAATTCAAAGGGCTGTAACTTTTGAACTAGTAGCCCAATCTTGGAACTGTTTGAAATTATGGATTCTACAGGCCACATCTATGAAGAGAAATTTTTTTCCGGGTCGATCTGAGACAATTTTTTTTTCGGGGCTCAAAAAAAGGCAGTGTATAACCTTCCTTTTTTACCAAAAATTGACTGCACCAAAATTTCTCGGGAAAACACTTTTTCTTATTAATTTTGGTGCGTAGAATCCAAAACAATTCGTACTTTTTGGATTATACTTCTCAATTAAAAGTTATGGACTAGAAACCAATTTCGAAAAAAGTTTAACAAGTTAAAAAGTAATCGTAAACGATGTACATAAAGCGCATTTCCACTTGCATTCATTTCCCATTTGTAAGATGCAACTTCTGTTAAAATCGTAAAAATTCGGCCACAAATATGAAAGATAGCGTTGCACATGAGCAATCCATTTTTGACATGCTATTTCAATTTCAGTTTATAAGAAGAATTTAATTTCAATGCTTTTCTAAATAAGAAAGTTGGAACTGCGCATGTGCAAACCTAAATTTTGAAACTAATGTTAGATTTTCCTTTGTTCCAAGCGCCAAAGTATCAAATTTCACTTAAATGCTTCCATAGATAAAAAAAAGTTGGCACTGCGCATGGGCAAAATAAAATGTTTAAACTGGCGCTAGATTTTTCTTTATTCCAAGCACCTATGTATCAAATTTCATTTAAATTCTTCCATAAATAAAAAAGTTGGCACTGCGCATGCGCAAAACCAAATTTAAAATTGGCGTTTGATTTTCCTTTATTCCAAGTGCCTATGTATCAAATTTCATTCAAATACTTTTATAAGAAAAAAAGTTTGCAATTCGGTTTATAAACGGTCGAGATGCGAAAAAGGCACTGTGAATTTTGAATCGATTCGACTCAAGTTTTGGCATTGCGTATTATATGGCTAAGGTTATGCCCATATTGAATTTCATGCAATTCAGTTCATAACTAACGGAGATGTAAGAGCGATCGGACATTTCTAAACAAAGTTATCGTTCACACGGACAGATAGAGGGCCAGACAGGCAAAGGAACAGACGGACAGACCAACAGACAGACGACAGACAACAATACAAAATTATAAATGATCTCTAGGATGGTTAATAAACGGCAAAAGTGTAACATTATGGAACATGTAAAAAACGGTTTGTTTTTTAGCAATAGGTACACGCAGAAAAAATTCCTTCCTTGGTGCAAGACTCGACACCATAACGAACCAAATAACGAAAAAAGTAGAACAATAGCTCTTAAGATAAAGAACTAGTAGCGTCGCAAA